TTCTTTATGCACCAAGAGCTTGTAACACTCCAAAGAGAAAGGAAAAATTTAAATCGCATCATATGACCCTTTTAAAAGAACAAAATGTAGTATGCAAATGTCCCTTAAATATAAAGGGGGAAAAGGGGAAAAAATGTGTTTTCCTTTTTTGTAAATGAGCATTTGTTGCATTTGTTGTCGAATGGAATGAGATAAAGGCTTTGGTGATAACATTTTGTCCTGTTTTCCAAGTAAATCTAACTTGAAAATCTTTTAATTGACAGCTTTTTAAATGAAACTCAGAGTCATTCAGTGAATATACACTGCTAATGAAAATGTCTAAACTGAAATAAAAAAAAGTAACACATTGGATATAGCCTGATATTCTGTCTTTTTACAAAAAGGATCAAGTACACACCTGATATTTATTTACAGTACCCGACATGGCAACTGCCTAAAACCGTTCTTTGTGTCACATTACACAACCCCAATTCCAGAGAAGTTGGGACGTTTCGTAAAAATGCAATAAAATCAAGAATCTGTGATTTGTTCATTCTCTTTAACTTTTATTTAATTGACAAAAGTACAAAGAAAAGATTTCCAACATTTTTCACTGACCAGCGTAAATGTATTTTGTAATTATTAACAAATTTTGATTTTGATGCCTGCAACACATTCCAAAAAAGTTGGGACAGAGGCAAAATAAAAGTGAAAAGGTTATAGGATATCCACTTTAAACTGTTTTGAAACAGTTCACAGTAAGCAGGTGAATTGGTAATAGGTCAAGTTATCATGTTTGGGTATAAAAGGAGCATCTCAGTCTTGCAAGCAAAGCTGGATCATGGCTCATCACTTTGTGCCAAATTTCACCAACTACCACATGTGATATTGTGAAAAGGTTCAGGGAATCCAGAGAAATCACAGTACATGTAGGGCAAGGCAGGAAACCTCAGTTGAATGTGCTTGACCTTTGAGCCCTCAGATGGCATTGCATAAGAAACCGTCATGCTGCGGTGTTAAATATAGCCACACGGGCTCAGGAGTACTTCAGAAAACTGCTGTCACTTAACACAGTCTGCTGCTGCATCAAGAAAAGCAACTTGAAACTCTGTTACTCTAGGAGAAAGCTATACATCAATTCTATGCAGTGATGCCGCTGGGTTCTCTGGGCCAGAGCTCATCTCAGATAGTCAAAAAGACAGTGGAAAGGTGTGCTGTACTCAGATGAGTCCACATTTCAACTTGTTTCTGGGAAAAATGGATTTCGAGTTCTCAGTCCCAAAGACTTTCCAGACTTTCATCAGTTTAAATATAGCCACATGGGCTCAGGAGTACTTCAGAAAACTGCTGTCACTTAACACAGTCTGCTGCTGCATCAAGAAAAGCAACTTGAAACTCTGTTACTCTAGGAGAAAGCTATACATCAATTCTATGCAGTGATGCCGCCGGGTTCTCTGGGCCAGAGCTCATCTCAGATAGTCAAAAAGACAGTGGAAAGGTGTGCTGTACTCAGATGAGTCCACATTTCAACTTGTTTCTGGGAAAAATGGATTTTGAGTTCTCAGTCCCAAAGACTTTCCAGACTTTCATCAGTGACAGATGCAAAAGCAACTGTCATGGTATATGAGTGCATCAGTGCAAACGGCATGGGTGACTTGCATATGTGTGAAGGAACCATTGACATGGAGGCATATATTGGGAGTTGTACAGAGAAATATACTGCCGTCAAGATGATGTCTTTCATGGGAAGGCCATGGTTATTTGATCAAGACAATGCCAGCTCTCATTCTGCATGTGCTGCAACAGTGTGGTTTTGTAGACTCAGAGTGAATGTGCTAGACTGGCCTGCCTGCAGTCCAGATCTGACTCCTATTGAAAATGTATGACCAGTCATGAAAAAGAGAATCAGCCAACGACAATCACAGACTGCTGAGCATCTGGAGCCTTGTTTCAAGAGAGACTGGACAAAAACTTTGCTCGCAAAACTTTAACAATTAGTATCCTTAATTCCCAAACAATGAAACATTGTAATTACAAGGAAAGTTGATGTGACACAGTGTTAAACGTGCCTCTGTCCCAACTTTTTTGGAGTGTGTTGCAGCCATCAAAATCAAAATGTGTTGATATTTATAAAATACATGTATGTTGATCAGTGAAAACTTTGGAAATCTTTTCTTTGTACTTTTGTCAATTAAATAAAAGTTCAAGAGAGTGAACAATTCACAGATTCTTGATTTTATTGCATTTTTACAAAATGTCCCAACTTCTCCTCATTCACAATTTCAGCAATATAGAATTAGCAGTAGCTACAAATACAATCTTTATGATCATATTCAGTCTTTCATGAATTATATCTTGTCAGTAACATAAAGTTTAGCTTATACAGTCAATACCTTCAATTTGTTATGGTAGCAAAAAATGTAATCTTGTAGGTTCAAAATACTCAGATTGTTACCATTGTCAAATACTGAAGGTTGTGATAGATTTTCAGTTTGTGTGCATTATCATATTGAAATGGAAGGTAGAAGAATAATTAGGTTCTAATGAATGATTAAATCACTCGAAAATGGACTAAGTCTTCCTTTATCTCCTTATAATGTTCTCCTGAGTGTAACAGACAGGCATTTTATGAGTTGATGTCAGAGGAAGATAAGGAAATGCCTTTTCAGGAATGTCAGAAAGCTGTAAATTATAGGAGAAGAGTGAAATCATGTTAGTCTTTAAATGAAATATCAATACTCTGCAAAATATAACACCATGAGACCAGATGGAATTCTGGACAAGTTTTTGAGCTTTTAATGGACAAATTATGATAATGCAACTTCACAACCCAGCAAACACTAACCTTTCAATGAGGCATAGAAGGTTGTGAAGAATTCCAGGAGCGCAGACAGGGCAGAGCCTGGCGGTCTATGGAGGCAGAGCTATAGGGTTGCAGGCCAGAGTTCAGTGAGGGGGAAGTTGTCAAGCTCTTTCCCAGGTTAAGGGATTTAATTTCTTTTCTCTGGAATTCAATAGGAGACTGCAGGGCTATGACAGGTGAGATAGAGGAGAAGAAACAGAACAGAGCCCATTAAGAATTCTGCTCTAAGGCAAGGTCACAGAAAGGTCATGGAAGGTATGATGATGATACCGTTTAAGAAGTTGTGCTGTGTCTCCAGCATCTGTATGATGTCATTTGCCCAGGTCATTCTGATTTCTGGAGATGATGCACGAAGAATGAATCGGTGCATGCTTCCATCGATATTACGAGACGTCAACACCATCCGACATGGGTCATCTGGGCAATGATCCTCAATGCCCAAACAACTAATCTATGAAAGATACAAATATTTACCCTCATATTTGTTTGCCTTACAATCTTCCACTATCTCCTCTGCTTCTCACCTTGATGCTGTTTTTAAAGATGTATCCTGGCAGGGAAAAGCCTTTCTTGCGGTCGATTGGCTCACTGAGGATGACAAGTTGCTCGAAGAGGAACACCCGTCTCTCTTTGGGACGGGAGAGAATGCTGTTCTCATTCTCAATGAATGTGAAGGTGTCCTGTTGCAAGAGTTTCCCTTGTGCTCTCAGCTGGCCCTATGAACCCAATCAATCATGGGTGATCCATGTGAATTTTTAGTCTAAGATATAGGTAGGAGTGCTAATAAAACTATAAAGGAACTATAAATTATATAAATAGATAATTATTTTATAAATAATGGACTCGTGCTGTGCTCATTTTGGATACTGCAGCAGTCCAAGGTGAAGTAAACCATTTCCATTTCTGCAGTGTATTTGTGTGTCATCTTACCTCAAAACCCTGTAGTCTTCCAACATTCATCATGTCATTACATCGCTTTGGAACGAAACACATCACCTCCACTGCCCTCTGAGATAAGGGCACAAAAAGAGGACAGAATAATAATTCAGTGTCACCTGATAATGAGTTTGCTCAGTCTTATAAGCCTGTACCTACCTCAAGATCTTCTGTTTGTCTGCCTGCTTTAGTGTAGTACTTCAAGAAGTCCTGTAAATAAACACACATAAACACAGAATAGGGAGGATATTAGATGAACAGGAATATGGATTTTAGCTCAGCTCCTTAATTTATAAAGAAGGACAAGAATATATATGGAAAATTGAGGAAATGGCTTAAAAGTTCCTGTTTTTTTTTAATCAGATCCAGTTTTATCTATATAACAGGGTTCAACAAGGTATGGTCAATTTTATTTTCTTACAAATCACTATATAGCAACAAAAGCCATCATAATACTTTCCTAAATACCTGTTTGTTGCTATGTACTTGGTATCAGCACATACAATGACAAGATTTATAACAATGACTAAACAAGTTTGAGGATAATCCCTGGAATACATACACTGCCATTCAAAAATTTGGGGGTTTAACATTCTACTCATCAGAGAATTGTGGGAAAAAATGTATCAGAGTTTTCAGCATTGATAATAAGAAGAAATGTTACTTAAGCACCAAATCAGCATTTTAGAATGATTTCTGAAGGATCGTGACTAAAGACTTGAGAAATGACTGCTGAATTTCAGCGTTGCCATCACAAGAATAAATTACATTTGAAAATACATTAAATACAAAACAGTGATTTTAAATTATTATAATATTTGAACTTTCTTTTTTTTACTGTATTTTTTATTGAATAAATGAAGCCTTGGTGAGCATAAGAGACTCATTTCAAAAACTTAAAAAATATTACCGACCCCAAAGTTTTGTACAGTAGTCTATTTAAATCATTTTTTAAGCTGATAAACAATTTTAAGATTTTTCTGTAACATCTAAATGAGTAAAAGGATAGTATATTTGGGTAAAAACATCCAGGTAGCTAAAGCTCCCCTTTTGGAGTCCAACTATGGCTCAAAACAGCATCAAAAGTTTAGGCTGACAGAGGAGGGAAATAGAGAATGAACTAATTTTGGAGACTAATTTTAATACATCATTTGTTTTTAAATCATTTGAAACAAAAAAAAAATAATAAAGAGCATGTATTTTTGCGCAAGCTTACACAAACATACCTTCAGCAGCAGCTGATATTTCATGATTCTCTGAACAGGTTTGATGAGCAGGTCATTTAACTGCAGTCTGTGACCCAGCTGTTGCCTCAGTTCCTACATGGAGAAAGAGCACAGGACAGTCATAGACCTTGACCTCATACACCAACAAGCAAACATTGCCTTATAAATATATTCAGATTTTACCTCAAAATAGGTTTCAATGTACTCTGAGACAATGTGCTCTGATGTTGGCTTGTTCTGACAATAAACCACATACATGTTGAGCCGCCTCTCCTGGAAAACACACAGAGATATTGAATTCTTAACATCTTTTTTAATTTATGCAAGATGGTTTACTGCATTTAATGTTTACTATATCTCCAGCAATTTAACTTGCAAGAAGGAAATAAAACATAGGCTTACGTGTTTGATAAACAGTTGTGCCAGCAGGTCAGGTTCACACACACATTTCTCCAACTCTCCAAGAAAATAGCTGAGACAAAAGAAAAATAATGGTAGCAGCTGTAAGAAAGTCAGGTTTACACACCTCAATAGGCACATTCCTATCAATAGGTGACCTACACTTTGTGCCAGTCGTAGATCTGATGAATGTTCCCAAACACAATTTTATCCTTTCCCGCCAAATACTCGGGCACCCCAACACTATTCATTGTGGCCATATAACCCTGGAGAAGGGAGGAAATGAGAGTTAAAAAAAAAAAAGAATGAGTAAGATCTACTAACTGAATGCATTTATATGTTACCTCCACCACAAGCCCCAGATCCTCCACATACAGCTTCTCTGTTTCTACCAGCTCTGTCAGCACATATCTATAAGTGAGACATAAGGTATGCCAGATTCGGAGGATTATTAAAAATATCTTATTCCAGAAACCATGGGTTTGGGTCACCATCAATCAAATACCTACATGCTTTTCTCGAAGGCAGTTCTTCTCTCCTGCTCATCATCCTCTGGACTCTGTGATTGTACCTGTGTCTCGTCAGTCAAGTCGAGATCTCTCTCCCCAGAATGCACATCGCAAGACTGATGCCTCTGAAATTGGATTCATTAGCCATCACAAACACAAATGAGCAATTATGTATAAAAATACTTATTAAGGTCTAGTACTCAGTGTTGTGCACCTGCAAGAGATCATTTAGGTATCTTGGGTAATAGGGACTGTCAGGAGATGTTGGCCTTGAAAGTTCAGCACACTCCTGTATGCCACAGACAGAGAAAGTGTGTACAGTTTTGGTATAATATATCAAAATAACAGAAAATCCTCCGTCTCTGTAATAAACAGAACCATTCAAAAGTTTGGGGTTGGTAAGATTTGTTATGTTTTTGAAAGAAAAACACCAAGGCTGCATTTGTTTGTTAAAGAGAGTAATATTGTGATATATTACTACAATTTAAATTAACTGTTTTCTACTTTAAAATATTTCAAAATGTCCACATGACCATTTAGAAATAACTGTAATATGCGGATTTTGAAAACTGTTTAATATTTTTGTTGAAACAGTGATACTTTTTCAGGATCCTTTGATGAATTTGTAACAAAGTAAAAGTCTGTACTGTCATTTTTGTTTAATTTAAAGCATACTTGCTGAAGAAAAGTATTACTATCTAACTGACCACAAACTTTTGAACAGTATAGAGTAAATTATGTCCATACCAGAGATCTGTAGGAGCGGGGAAGTTTTTTGGACTTCTCTATTGGGCTCAATAGGCTTTGAGCAGGTGAGAGAGGGAGAAACATATAGGATGACCCTTCTGGGCTCTGAATGGCCTTTGAGCTCTGACTCTTGCCACCTCCGCCCAGACTAAACCTTCGAACTGGGCTGCTCAACCATCTCTTGAGGCCTTTGATGGAGCGTTTGGGTGTGGTAGATGGTTGTCGAGTGGGAAGAGGCTGATGGTTGCTGGGTGAGATTGGAGAAAGGTCATCAATAGAGATGGAGGTTGAAGGTGTATCAGGAGGCAAGGAGACATCGCTGAGCCCTGTCAATGTGTATGCCTCTACAATAGACAGAGAGACAGAGAGGGAAAATAAATGTAGTAGAAGATCTTTAAAACAACGTTTAAAAAAAAAAAAAAAGAAAAAAACAGCCTTCATATTTACACTGAAGAAAAAAATGGCAGCTGTGATTATCAGAACTCTGCTAAAAAATATATTGTTACAGCATTTGACAAATTATTTAATGGCATTTTTAGTTGACTACAAATATTACAGACGATGTAGAAATTACCTTTACTTTCCATTACCTCTGGCCAGCCTTAAATAAGTGATAAGCTTTTTTTCATGGTTTTTTTATTTATTATTCTTTATTTATTAATAATTTAAACATTATTTTACCATTAAAGTTCATCTTTTGTCTATTAAAATATTATGGTTTAAAAATATTTTACTACAAAATAATTGCATCATAAATTATAAATTAAAACATAGTTTGAAGTACTTTACACAAAAAATTCGTTTTTTTTTTTTATTTCGGACTGTGCTAAAAAAATCTCAGTTGACACATCTGCAAAGTGCCATTTGCTTATTTGTGCTCAAGAAACATTTCTTGTTATAACCATAACCATGCTTAATATTTCTGTGTAAATCATGATGAATAAAAAGTTAAAAGAAAACAGCATTTATTTGAAATATAATATTTTTGCAACAATGTAAAAGACTTTACTGTCACTTCTTTTGATCAATTTCATGCATATCCTTGCTGAATAAAAGTATTAATTTCTTTCAATCAATCAATCAATCAACTAATATAATGGTAATGTGGTAGATAAAATGGTCATGTATGAAAATGAGGATGAGACAGAGAGTTATAAGGTTGATATATTGCAAGGGAATTTCCAGCTCCATCACTAATATTCATCTTGCAGTTATTTTTGCTGAATTTTCCACATAGTCATGAAAGGTGGAATATAAATATAACTGGCAGCACATGGAAGAGATTCTGCCTTATAAGCAGATGATACAGCTTAAAATTTTTTTTTTTTCTCCCCACGATTTAAAAGCTTTACAGTGCAAAATGGGGGAGAGAGAATGAGGGACAGAACAGAAGGTATTCTACCATTTCTGTGTGAAATATGGATTAGCTGTTTCTTAAAGGCCACATAACCATAATCCTGCAACAACCATTCACACACACACACACACACACACACACACACACACATAATACATCAGCAATAATACATTTCTATAGATAATCCATGAAAAATAACACTAACAACATAACAATAATGGTTCAGCATTTCTACAAACTACAGGTCGAATGCACGTATTATTATGAAGCAAAAGAACAATGGTAATAATGAATTACACTCAGTTTACATGCAAGCAATATTTTTCAAGCTCTAAAATGTGTAATATATAAATTAAGATCTTATTGTTAATCAATCTTTTTGGTCTAATCAAGTTTTCTGGGAACATATTCAGAATGTTAATCCTGAAAAAACTGCAAAGCCTACCAATATGCAAATACACTCAAGGTACAAATATCAAAAGTGAAAAAGCTACTAATGGATCTCTTACCTTGCTGTCTGAAGCAGCACTCATACCTGGCCAAAACTTTCTGACAGAAGTGTGCACAGCCACACACCCCTGGGCCACGACGCCCCTTCATACCAGCCAGGTAAACACTGCTGTACCACCCTGCAGCATGCCACTGTGACGATGTTTACTCCTACTCTCCTACTCTCGGTTCAGAGGTAATCCTGAGGTCGGAATTTACACTCAACATCTGTATAATTCCTCTGCTCTTATCCACATAGACCCACATCACATCATGCCTGGGTTCAAAAAGATATTCTTTCTGTAGACTGCCTCTTCACCTTCAGGAGGCAATGAGGAGGGTCAGAAAGTGAAATAATGAGATAGGGAGGGGGATTTAAAAACAGTGATCCTACTTTATTACTACGGTACTGACAGTTGGTGTGTGAGAGAGGGAGGCAGAGAAAGAGGATGCTATGGTTAATGTCTTGGGCTCCTCATGTGTTCTCCACTGCCAGTGTACACTCCACCTTTGCTTTATAGATTCTGTTAACTGTGCACGTCTAGCAGCACCAAAAGGAACTGCAAAAATAATGACCATTTCCAAACAAGTTTCTTAAAGTCACAATGAAATGGAAACACTGAAAGATTTCTATGTTATGTGACATATATCCAAGTATAAGTGTAACAAATTATTGAAAAATAAAAAATGTAGGTCGGGGACTTGGTTGGATCAGTTGTTAATTGGATTTTTAGATGTGGTGTTGCCAGTGCTTAATTTGTAAATCGCGAGGTCCCGGAACAACGTGGGGTGACGGATCCGGCATGATTAGAGGAGGAGAACGGAGCATTCGCGCAATGAAGGACCAGTTTACGTGATTAACAGCGTGCATCTTCTTACGGTCATGAAAAAAATGGAAAAGTCATGAAATTTTAAAACAGCCATTTCCAGGCCTGGAAAAGTTTCGGAAAAGTCATGGATTTGTTTCCCTTAAATCTCTGTATAATATAATTATGTTTAATCTGCTTTCGAGTTTATAATGAGGGAAATTCCTGCAAACATATTCAATAGAGCATGCAGGTTAGATGAGTAAATAAATCCACACATACTATCAAATTAAATCATTCATTTGAAAACAGCGTTAGTGATTCAGCTGTACCGCGTCTTCTCTCACTCTCAAAGCGGCTTCACAACAGTGCATCTCGTCTGCACTACTGCACGCTGCGATACAAGACTTTTGCTCTGGTTTCGGGACAGTCGACAGAATTGTCACTTGCCTAATCGAGTCATTTTTGCACCACAGGCTTTATAGCTCTCTTCAGGTAGCCTACTACGACTCACTCCATAGATTAAAAACAACCCAATATTGCCATCTTATGGTGAAACATGAGGAAACATTTTCTATAAAGAGTTCCTCTTTCTCGTTCATGATATGCTACTAAAACACTTATTTTGGCTTCTTGGAATAATGTAGGCTACATCTGTACAGAATGAAATATTCACCTGAAGATAAACCATATAAGGATTCTTGTTCTTGTTTTGGGCATCTCCATGTAATTTGTTAGAGACTGAGAAAGAGTGTGTTTACATGTTTTGAGTGTATGTGTAATAAAGAATTCCTGTTCAGTGGAAAGAAGACCTCTCCAAATCATTATGAAAGGGTATGTTTGACCCCTCACCTTTGCCCTCAGGTATGTGTTTGGGTCTTGAGCTCCAGCTTTGTTCTCCATTTTCCCATTCTGTACCCTTCTTTGAACAACCCTGCTTGTCTTGCAGTAAAACACTCTCTTCGGTGTGTTCTTGCAGCTGAAACAGGTCATAAAATTTAGCATTATCCTCAAGCTCTGAAAGGGCAGAGTTGTAACCAGCTTTATTATCACAACAGCTATGAAATACATTACATGTCGATACCTGAGCAAATTCATATGACCCTTAAAAAATGCATACCTCCTCAAACTAGACCAACAAGACACTGTAAATCTCGAGAAAAATTGCTTAAAATCATGCAATTGCCTACGGCATTTCATTTTGTTGGGATGTACAGTCTTTACATGTCTTTCTATTAACAGACCATCCAGACAATGCACGTTAAGCTAGAATGAACAAGTGTATTATGCCTACTGTATCTATTGTAGGAATACATCCAAATTACAGTGTGCCGGAGGCCTTATCTGTACTTGCGTCCTTCGTTTGCAGTAAACATTTGGCAGGTTGGCCTAGTTGTAGCAATCTCAGTATTGAGCTGATAACTTGTTGTGACAAGTTTGGCAAATTTCTACTGAAGGCTTTAAGTCTATGAAGTAATCATGTTCTGTTTAGAGAAGTTCAAAGAAGCCCAAACAGTCTTTCAAAAAGACAGCAACTAAAAAGACTCACTAAAAATACTTGAGACAGATTTTCGTGCGGATCATGTAATTTTTGCTGATTGTGTTGCTGGTAAACAGAAAACATGCATCCCTAGGCATAAGAAAAGAGACACAGACTGTGTGGGTCTGAGTTAACAAAGTGTTGTTGGCATGATTGTACATTATTACGGTATTGCTAAAGCATCCAAGATATTTACACCAGCACAAGAGAGAAAATACTATACGTTAAGAAAGGTAAAAACTAATAATAATATTATAGTGTAGTGTACTGATTAAAACAGTCAGCATAAGGGTAGTTGACATGTCCTGGGGTGTGATATGCTGCTGTGTACTCCAGCTAAAACATTACATTTTGCTAATGCATATTTTTGAGATCTATATAAGGAAATGTAATATACAGACACAGAATTGACATAGAAATCTGTCTGTGAGGGGGTTTAATAAACATTGATGTAAAAGACATTAATGTACATTATCACAAGAACACACATTATTTAGTATGCTATATATGCATATTCACATGAAGAGTCCACTTTCAACTTTTACTGATATTGATACTTTACACAATAGTTTGGTGGAATGTGGTCTCCAAACGTGGCCTAAAAATGAATAATTTTAAATATGCAAAAATGTATGTTGATGGTTCCCGTTAGAGTTGTTGTTGTTGTACTTAAAATTAGAATTGTATTAAAAATCAATAGAACAATTTGAAAGTTGACATGTATGTGTGTGTTTGCTCACCCAGTGCTGATTACTCAGGGCCAAGGATGGGAGAGTGTTTGATAGAGACATCAGCAGTTGCTCTGTGTTTCCCTGAAGTTTGGCCAAACTCTTCATCTTCTCTTTCTCTGTCTCCAGATTGATGAAGGAAAATTTTAGTTGTATGTTTTGTTGTGTCTTCTCAGTGCTGTCCCCCAGTGCTTAATCCCCACTCAGCTCTTCCTTACTCACAGACACACATTCTTATCTTCTCTCCCTCTGCTGTCCACCACCCATTCCCTCCCTCTTCTCCAACACCCTCTTGCTCCATCCTGAACTCCCTGGGCCAGAGAGAGAGAGAGTGCAACGAGAAAGAAAAAAATGAGAAAGATTGAGAATGCTATCCTACAAACCTCCAATCTCAGCCATAAATAAAGGAATGAAATAAAGTCTTATTTGGCATGTACAGGTCATTATAATTAGTTTTATTTCTTAGGGTTAGTCTAATGTACTTCTAAAAAAAAAAAAGCAGCAACATATTTTGTATATGTGACCCTGGACCCCAAAACCAGTCGTAAGTAGCACAAGTATATTTGTAGCAATAGCCAACAATACATTGTATGGGTCAAAATTATTGATTTTTTCTTTTATGCCAGAAATCATTAGGATGTTAAGTAAAGATCATGTTCCATGAAGATATTTTGTAAATTTCCTACCGTAAATATATCAAAACTTAATTTTTGATTAGTAATATTCATTGCTAAGAACTTCATTTGGACAACTTTAAAGGCGATTTTCTCAATATTTTGATTTTTTTTTTTTGCACCATCAGATTCCAGATTTTCAAATAGTTGTATCTTAGTCAAATATTGTCCTATCCTAACAAACAATACATCAATGGAAAGCTTATTTATTCATCTCAATTAAAATTCAAATTAAAAAAGTTCAATGAATAAATTGACCCTTATGACTGGTTTTGTGGTCCTGGGTCACATGTGTGTGTAACAAGGATCACTCACTTCCTTAAGTGCTGCTGGGATACAGGAGTATTAACTTAATATGAGCTTAAATTAGGTACTTGTGTTGTTTTATGAAGACCTGATGATAAAGGAGTTTTTATATTTTTATCAGTTCCTTCAGAATTGCAAGATTTTATTGTAGGTTATTTTTATTTATTTTGCGTAAAATCTTGTTTTGAGCCTGCATGTTCAGTTATTAAGCACAAAATATTTTTAGGTTGTTGTACTACTGACGTTGGTGTTAATTACATAATGATTATTGGATTATTGGTATGATTATTGGTACAGACAACTGGTCATGTAAGGACATTTTTGTTGGCAAAGTACATCATTCTGTCTTGAAATCTTATCAAAGACAAATTCACTTCTCCTCACATTCCATATAATCCTCTGAGCTAAAATCAGGGTCCCTGTGACATAAAACAACCAAAGCCCTGAAACACACCCACTGTATGTTAAACTTCATCAGCATTATTGATTGCATGATCTTTAATACTTACACTCTAATGAACAAGTGAGAGTATGATTGGGTTTGTTTGTCAGTATGAGACGGAGAGAAAAAAACAGAGACCATTTTGAGTATGTGTGTGTGAAAGGTGATTATGCTCCGAAAGCCTTGGGTGTTTCCTGATCCTGAAAGGCATTAGTCAGTCTAATGACCTGAGATGTTACGGAGCATGTATACACCCCTCTGTGTTCACATCACATACTACTACACACACTATGATGAAGATGTCAAGCTGATGGTTGTATTTTCTGCAAGCTAAGGTTTCTGATAATGACATGTGAAAGTTTTTTAAGGCATTGGCAGCATTCACTGAAGACACCTCTTTTCTTCTGAAGTGTGAACACAGGTGAGTTATACTCCATATTTTTGAAATCTCTATTTTAAATCTAGTTTAAAATGTATTGCCAGAATGTCAGTAAGCATTTAAGAGCATCTGGCTGTTTTCTCAATTGTTCATTAGAGCACTAAAGAGAATGTTTTTGCTTTATTGTTGTAAACTTTGGTTTTGTATTTTGCTAGATTTTTATATGATGCACAACCAGAGAAATGTTTAATTAATGAATAGAAATACCAGTTTTGTAACTAAACTGAATATGTTTCACAACGTAAAATTGTTGTATCAACATATACACGTATAAATAGTAGAGTTAATTGAGGTAAAGTGTGTTTTTAGAGTGTACCGTATATAAGCCTGTTTACAGATATCTGTGTATTTTAAGCCTGAGCAGGTCAGATTTAGCACTGACAATTAAAGCACAGCTGTCCCAGGTTAAATCTGGAGCTATGAAAACTCCTTACTTTCTTGCATCAGAAGCTTTTGAGTCAATTGTTGCCATCACTGACAGTGCTTTATTTGTTTGTTTATTTATCTATTTGAAGGTTATTTCACTTAGTTAGAGAGCCTTGTGGTTTATCTGGACTGTTTACCTCAAGACAGGGTCCATAAACACTTGGAGTGCATTCCTTCATCTCAGGTTGCTGACCCACTACAACAATGTTGGAACACTTTCCTCAAATGCCAGCAAAGATGGTGTAGGCAAGATTGAACTCTGGAGGCATGGCAGCAGTTCAAAGCGCTGCCTTTAAGGACCCAAATCTGGGGTCAGGCCCGGACAGGGATGAAATTTCATTGTTGGATGAAGAGTCTGACTCTGGAAGCTTGCAGTCTGATGATTCTGTTCTCCCGGATTATGAACAAGAGGAAAGGAAAAAAGGAACTGCCAACACACTATATGAGGCTTGCGTCCAAAATGACCCAGAGGCACTGAAGAGAGTGTTGGAACAAGGTGTGACCTATGATGAGGTCATGGAAGTTGACATTAATGGCAGGGTAAGACAGATTAGTATTAGAGAGCATGAGGCAGACTGACTAATCAGAGAAAAATCATGCAATAAAAATAAGTACATTTTAAATTACTTTTACATTTTTGTTTTATATAAATTTGTAGGTCAACCTGGATCGCTATTTTGGTTTCCTTTGAGAAATGTAAATATTTTTAACTGTATAAGTAGAATTATGTCTGAGGTTAACATTTCTTGATAAGACTTTCTTATTTATTTAACAAACATTGTCACCCCAAATGTGACCTACAACTGCAATAAGGGTGTGTGTTTACTTGAGAAATCGAACTACATAGTCTTTATGTAGCAACTTGTTAACACTTTCAAAATTCATGTTTGAGGCATGGCTACATGCACTTGTAACTTAGCACGAGAAAGTCTATTTAAGTAATGTTAACAGATATTGTACATCACGGGAAATTCCTGAGGAAACTAATGCCTCGAAAAAAAAAAACTCTCAGAACAGTTTTAGATAATTTTATTAGTGCTGCAGGGTTATTACTATTTGGTTGATTATTAAATAGTTACCTGTTGATGTAAAGTGTCCATATATATATATTTTCTATATCTCCTTACCTTTTCACTTGTTTAAGAATTATATTGATAGAGGTCTTGTAACACACCATGATTCTTTCTTGTAGAATGGACTGATGGTGGCTGCATATAAAGGCTTTCTTCCAATTGTTTACAAGTTGCACGGCTGTCCACATCTGGATATTAACCACCAAGACAATGATGGCAACACTGCTTTAATGATCGCAGCTCAAGCTGGTCAGTTGTTGCATGTGTGATGTCAGTTCACTGTCTTGATGAAAATTAGATGAACTGCTGCCTGGACTCTGCTGGCAATAATAGTGTTCCAGGCAAATAGTGTTGATTTTTGTGAATATGATGCAATAACTCTAATTTACATAGAAGTAAGGAATGACAAAGACTTCATGTTAAATACTATTTGAGTTTAATGAATGTACCCCATTTCTTCATTTTGTATATGTTCAAAAATACAAAGTAAAAAAGCTTTAAATCTTTCTGTACACAGGTCATGTCTCCATATGTAACTACATTATGAATTACTTCCCTGGAGCAGAGACAGAGATCAGAGACAACAGATGATTCACTGCCCTCATTAAAGCTGCCATACAGGGCAGGAATGATGTGGTGGCAGCTCTTATAATGCACGGTTAGTAGTTGAACACACACATGCTGATATGCTGAAAATGGTCCTTCACTATTTTGGCTTAGCTTATATTCATCACATCACTAGGGAGAGACAAGAAATCACCAAATGACCCACATAGCCAATCAAGAATGGCGTAGCTGGCATTGAATCAGTTTGCCTCAGTAGCATCCATAAGATTAATTAAGTAATTAGGCAGCCAAGCAAAAGATCTGTGGAAGGCACAACATTACTAGACAGACAAAGTGATTTCTTACACAGCATTCTTTATTTTTAGAAGTATATTCCTCCAGCATCCTTCTGATATACAATTTATTAAATTCTCTGTATTGTTCTGTTTTAGGTGCTGATGTAAATGCTGTAGACTCCAACCGTGGTAAATGTGCACGTGACTGGGCACTGAAAACAGGTCGCTTTGACACGCTGAATCGTCTGCGCCACCTTGCGTTTCATCCCACAGCTGAACAGTTCTGTGACACCTACGTCCCAGAGTGGCCCAACCTTAAGGTGCTGGTCAGCAAAGCAACAGCCAATAAGAGTGCCAGCCAGAAGCTGACTCATCATCTCAAGAGTACTTTTGGTTTCAGTTTCCCACGTGATCCGCAGGACAATGGTGTCATGAATCACATGGTGCGAATGACCACCAGCCTACGCAGCCCGTTCATAGCCACGGCCACACGGCCACACGGCCTCTGTGCCCAAGCAGCCCTCCACAGATGGGTAAACGTCAGCTTGCTGTGGCTGAGCTGATGCAGAAGCACTCACAGAAGCAGCTGGAGGAGAGTTCACTGTGCCATCGTAACAGCTCCATCTCCTCCATTTCTCCTTCTGTCCGCTCAGCTGAGTCCGTCTCTTTGTCCTGCTGTGCCAATACAGAGAGACGAGGCAGTGTGCTGTCCATTGCTCAGTCTGGAATGCGTACATTCATTCCTCGTAGTGTGGCGTCAAGGCGCAATAGCCTCTTCCCCTCTGGCTGTATCCCACAGATTAAAGTTACTAAATCCTCTGAGCCCACCCCAAAGAAGGGGAAGAAAAATAAAAAGCAGAAAGGTTACCTGGAGCCTCCAAAGTGGAAATATAAGGAGGCCAAGGATGAGAAGAAGAAAGAGAAGAAAGTGTTGAAGGAAAAGGAAGAGAAGGAAACGGAGAAGAAAAGCAAAGACAAGGATAAAGGAAAAAGGGAAAAGGAAAAAGCGTGATGACTAAGATGGGCTTTCTGAACCCTCAATAAGGTTGTAGATGCCTTCAGTGTAATTGTGTGTGGGGAAATGCTTGATGACAGAATCGGTGAAGCAATGCAGTGAAGAACGCATGGGCCCTGAAAAGAGGAAGCGCATTTTGAAACCTCAGTGGTGCATTCCTGTCTCATGAAAATCACTTCCAACTTCCTATCGGGGCAATTTATCTATGACCATTTCAGGCAGTCTTATAGGCTTTAAGGTCTCTGATTGGATGACTTACATGTAGAATAGTTCCTGAATGAATGCTGCATGTAAATAATCACAGGCATCATCAGAACTGAATTGTGCTTAACCAAAATTATTACAGTTCATATTTAACTAATTGATTACTTATAGTCACTAAAAAAAGCACAAGTTTATTTGCAAAACTATTACATTAACCACAGTTTACTTGCAAAACAAAACTACTGTATCCCACAGCAATTAGGGTTATGTGCAACAAACTTCTGTATTCTGTAAAACAGGTTGCATCATTTCCAGGTCAGATTTTTTTTATGTGCTTCATTAAATATGGAGCTTTTTTTTACTCAAGATGCCTTCAAAGCAGATACCAACCATAACCAATGTCAATCACAAACGCAGATTGCTATCTAAAAATGTATATTTTTCTTCTTCTCACTAACATTTGGATATTAAAACTGAATAAATTCCAGCAATAAAAACAAATAGCTTGGCTACCTTAAAAGTCCATAGACATCACTATCCGTTCATACTGCTATTAATACTTTCTTGACAAGCGGATGCGATGAGACCTGTTTTGCGGTTTGGTCAGGTGACAACATATACCCTGTTCACCTGCTAAAAAAAATTAACAATTTTTTGCAGCAACTGTACTCTCAGAAAAAGTACAATGCTTTCACTGGGTAAGTACAAAAGCTATAAGGTACATTCTTGTAGAGGCAGTGGTTCTCAACTCTGTTCCTGAGGAGATCATTTGTATGTCTCTCTTGTCTAACACACTCAGTTCAGTTGATGGATTCTCTCCTAATGAGCTGATGATCTGAATCAGGTGTGTTAAAGAAGGAAGACATACAAACAATAATGACAATGTATTATGTTTGTAAATATGTATGATCCATTGTAACATACTGTAAATATGATTTAATAAACTACGTATGCCGTAGTACACAAAGATCTTATTGGCTTTCTCTTACCCTCTCTCCCACCTGTGTATCATCTCTGACAGCACTGCACACTCTTAAAAATAAAGGTGCTTCACGATGCCATAGAAGAACCTTTTTGTCTAAATGGTTCCATAAAGAACCTTTAACATCTGAAGAACCTTTCTGTTTCACAAAAGGTTCTTTGTGGCAAAAGAAGGTTCTTCAGATTATAAAAAGGTAAGAAAGAGATGGTTCTTTAAAGAACCTTTGACTGAATGGTTCTTTGTGGAACCAAAAATGGCTCTTCTATGGCATCGCTTGAAGAACCTTTTGAAGCACCTTTATTTTTAAGAGTGCAGGGACAGACGTGAGGCTGAACAGTCAGTAATCTGCTCTCTCACAGTTATGCAACACAACCATGTGGAGAGCAGCAGTAAAACCATGCCGGATTAGAGATCTAGCCGTGTCACTCAGGTCAAGCAGAGGTCTCTGGCTAAGTTTGGGATCATTAGCCATGGCTACTAAAGGACATGCTCTAGCATCACTTTTGTAGTGATAAGATGTATATCAGCAAGGAGAGATAAATTCTGTGCACCCAATATTACAAAACATAACGACTAGATCTGAAATTAACTGAGTGGCCATAAAAGACAACATAACATTTTAGAATTAAGGAATTCACACCTAATAAATTTAAAAGAAAAATTGTTAGATATTTCTGTAAGATTTCTAATGTATGGACAGAGGTGTGTAAAAATAAATTAAGGCCAATTAGAAAAACAAGTTAATTGTACTAGAAAAAATATATATATGACGTGTGCAAATAAAAATATTGAGGAGCTTAATTTAAGCTTTTATCAGCCTAATACAAAACAAAATAAGAATTAATAAATGTACATACTAAAACTTAAGATAAATAAATCTTTATCTCAAAATTCATTTAAATTGTTTACACACAATATAGCGGACTAAAAGAAAAAATGTTACATCCTTTTTTGAGGTCAATGTACTTCCTGTTAGGTAATGCAGTGTTTCACCAGTTGGAAAGTTCAGCTCTGCTTTGTTGTGAATTTAAGCAGTTTTCATTCTTGTAGTGCTGCAGTTTCATTCGCTGGTGTCAGGATGATTCTTCCCAACATAGGAGGTAAGGGTTTATTTAATTTACCTGATGTTTTTAAACTTATTGGAGTATAACTGGCTACTCTGAATTCCAATTAACTTTCTTCAGTTAATTATATTTACAGTAAATTGCAACTAACAGTATAAATTAGAAGGTGTGAATCAGGGTACCCAGTTCTTCACAGTGAGAGAAAAAAAAAGTATTTATATCACTATTATTGTTTCTAAACATAGAACATAGAGTAAGCAGGACTGATCAGATTTAGACAGGTCAGTCTGGCCAGTGTAGAAATGTAGAAAACATTACTTTTCCAAATCTTGAGTTCATTTAATTCACAATAATACATTTTTGTAAAGTTCAAATGTATTTGCAAACAGCAGGCCTTAAAACTGTAAAATATAAACATATTTTTTTAGTATATATCTGAGTTTAATGTCTTACATGTTGCACATTGCAACATGCATATTTCATGTACTTTCATTTGGGAAAATCCTGTTTTTCACAGTATATTGCAATCACTCTTTCTTCATAGCGCTAGCTGTGGTGTGCTGGATAATGTGTGTGAGAAACACAGCATCTCAGGGTAAGAATCATTCACCTACTCCTGTACATAAGCTGATACACACATATGGTCAGGTCAGCAGTATGAAGAAAGAAGTGCAGTTTTTTTTTCAGGGTCATATTACATTTATCTGTCATGTTGTTTGTAGAAGTATTCTCACTAACCTGTCCTGTTCATAAAAATACATTAACTAAAGGTTAATAAAGGTTGTTGGGATTCTTTAAAAAAAGTATATATACTGTGTCTGTAAAAACATGAATAGTCATTAAATCGGATGTGCAATAATAATAATCAGCTCATCATGCCTGCAGTAACATGTAACATGTTTTTTTTATGTTTTTTAAAGAAGTCTGTATTATTATTTTTTATAATAGCTGCTTTGTATTTTAATATATTTTAAAATGTAATTTATTCCTGTGATGGCAAAGCTGAATTTTTAATTCAGCAACCAATACTCCAATCTTCAGTGTCACATATGATCCTTCAGAAATCATTCTAATATGCTGAATTAGCGCTCATGACACTTTTCATATTATTATCAATGTTGCACTGCTTTGTATTTGGAAACCATTATGCATATTCTTTGCTGAATAGAAAGAACAGAACTTATTTGAAATATAATAACTTTAGAACATTATAAATGTGTTTACTGTCACTTTTGACCAATTTAATGTGTCCTTGCTTATTAAAAATATACATTTATTTAAAGCATAATACAAAATACATTTGTTTTAAGCCAAAAAGTTTTACTCAAGAATTCATGTTTGATACAGTGTGACTGCAAATTGCCTGTTATGATTTGCTTTCATTTAGTGTTGTTTATAGGATTTGCTGACTATAATAATCGATTTGAAATGAACAAGCACATAGTAAACTAAATGAAAAGCTGCTGCAGAAATGCTGTTCCAACGTTGCTGTTGATAATAAGTATTGTCCTCCCTTTTCTTTTTCTGTTCCATCTTATTCTGTCTCTCACCTCCAGCATATGCTCCAGCCCCTACATTCGGCTATCGATTCAGAATAAATGAAAGTAATATTGAGCTAAACTCTATAGTAGAGGTTGCTTGTGGCACCACTTGGAGTGCTCCGTATCCCATAACTGTGTCTGTGGGCAAGTTGGAAAGCCCCTCGCAGACCCCAGAAACCACAGAAGCCTGGGTGACATCTGAGGTCATCAGTCGATCAGATACAATATATTTCACAATCCCTGCGACGGCCAAGTATGAAGGAAAAATTGTGTGCTGGTACAAATCCACTCGAACTGACTCAAAGAATCCATATTCTGAATTAAGCAGCCCTATTACCTTAGTCGTATGTAAGTTTTATTAAGCATATGACTTAATGTATTATGTATTAGACATTTTCTACTGAAATGTCACTGTTTCTTTCTCTCTTTTTCCCAGCTGCCCTCTCTGATCCCAAAGTGACTGTGTACCCCTATCTTTTTCGTAAGGGTGAAAATTACACTGTACAGTGTGAATCAGCCTATAACCTAGCCACAAACTTCACATTGAGTCTGTATTACCGCATCCTCCCTGTTAGCCCTGGCACCAACTGGACCTTCGCTGGTTCACTGTTTCTCACAAATCACACTAGTATCGTTTTAAGACAGACGAATGCCGTTGTCCCAATAGAGTTTTCCTGCAGTATGGAGATGTTGTACAGTGGAAAAGTCTTACATTCATCTCTGTCCAAAAGTGAGCAAGCCATCCCAGGTACAGAAGAGCAATGCATTCCCTTTTATGTGGAAATTGTAGTGTTTATGTGTGTCCTTTCATTAATTAAATGAAATTATATACAGCATATATACAGTACCAAATCTGAGAATTTTCATTTCATTGATGTCTAGAAGAAACAATTGGCATCTGATTTGTGATACAAGTAAAGTGTGTATGTATATTTTCTTCACTTGTGCTCCATTAGAAGAGCTTCCGGTTCGGCTCTGGGAGCAGGAACGTGGAGAGAGCTGTCTAGGATATCTGGATGTCACTCTCAGAGGCAAGTGGGTACCTGTTTGTCAGAAGGAAGTCGATACTGAAGCCGATTCATCTGCTGCTGCTGCC